TCTGATTCCTCTTACAGGAAGTCTAATCTGCTGTCATCAACACATAACAAGCTTTGTCTGCTTGAAAAGTTCATTATCTGTTACTATGACCAAGCACAACAGCTGTGTCTCATTCCTGTGTGTCCCAATGCTTTTCCGTAAAATCACATCAAGAGCTATTAACAAAAAAGAAAAAAAAAAAGAAAAAAAGCAGCTTAAAAAAAACCAAAGCTTAAAATAACTTTAAAAAATAAAGGAACCTGGTGTTTGACCCTTTGTTTTTTTTCGTTTTTCTTTTTAGATATCTACCTCCCTCTGCAGCTTCTACGTCTAATGCTCAGGACTAAATTAATGAGACAATAACACGTGTATTCTTCATAAACTGCCATATAAATGAAATAGCTGTGAATTTATTTGTCTTAGCTACTCCCTTCTTTTGTCCCAGTATTCCAGCCTTTTCCTTGAACATATATGTTTACTTCTATATTAGTTTTATGTAATTCAAGTTCTCTGATAATATGCCCGAGAGCAAGAATTCACTGTGTGAAGCTTGCACACCTCCTTATTCTGACATCTTCTTTAACTACTGACAAATCAGGATCCAGATGTAAAAGTGAGAGGACAAATTTAATAGCAACATGGATTTCTAACTGTTTTCCATGACACCATATTTTAAGAATATTGCTGTGTTCAATGCATTAAAAACACATTATTGCAAACTTAGCTGCTCTATTCTGGGAACATGGTAGGAAACCACTGAATACAGGTGCAGTAAAAGAAGAAATATTTTGTTTTCATATCATTAGACTTTCTACAGGAATGAATGACGATGAAAAGGTCAAGCTAAATTTTCATCTGACAAATCTGACAGCTTGTGGTTGCAGATGTGGTTAAAAACATAGCTATTTTGTTATTAATGTATTGGAATATAACCCTTTTCCACTGTGTGATGGGGACCATGCTGCTGTGTCAATCACTGAATAAGGAGATCTTCTTTTAAGAAAAACTGAAAAGATATATTTTTATCCAAAAAATGGGGGTTCCCTGTAAACAAATTCAAGAAATTATTCAGTCAATTAATGACTGTATCATAGTAAAAATGCAAAAGGAAAGGAGGGAAAGATACATTGCACCCTTAGTTTTGGTATTTCCTGACTTATCTGCTTAGCTGCTCTAACTGAGCATTAGTTTAACCATTGTTTTTGTTTAGGGGAAAAAAAAAAAAAAAAGGAATCAGATGGTCAAGAAATGCATCTGAATCTGTCTTTCCAGAAGTGACTGAGATGTTCAGAAAGATATTTTGAGAAGGAGCAACTCAAGTCCTTCAGCTCTTGCAGGAGCAGCTGTGGAATAATCCACGGATACTGGTAGAGGACTGCGAATATGAATTAAGTTAGTTGAGTTGTCAAATCCTTCCCAGTTAGACTGGCAGTGTCATGGTTTGAACAGCTTGTTCTCTAAGAAAGAATGTAATTTACTTAAAATAACATCAGTGAGGAGAACAAAAGGCTCAAGTCCTATTGTATACTTCTCTGCAGTGGTGGGTGGCTGTTTTTTTCAGTTACTCAGAAACTGATTTTAAGCTGGTTCAGGCACCTTTGTGCCTCTGAGTAGCTGAGGTGGAGCAGCATCTATTCCAGACTACAAGCTCAGAGAAGAACCCAGCTTTTTCTGTGCTTACACTATGATGAATGTTTTCCCAACACAGCAACGCTCCTCTCACCATCTGAGACAGCAAAGGTCAAGCCCAGTGCAGACATGTCTATACTGGATGAATTACAGTGAAGGAATGTGGTTTCCCTGGCATATCTAACCCTATAGACATAAAGTTGATTGTATTTCTGTCTTTATTTACAGACAAGAAAAAAAGAAGAGTATATTTTGTCAGGACAGGTATAGCCCTGCAAAATACAGTATATTGTGTAATTTCATATGAACTGGGAAGAAAATGTGAAAAGATTAATACTTGTACTTAAAATTGTCTGGGAGAATGACCCACAGGTAGAAGATCTCATTGTTGTCTAAAACCAAAGAAGCTACTTGACTCGGTAACTATGTTACTCTGCTAAACTGCTATGTATGCAAAATCCAAGAGTCAGGTGCACTCGGAGCTAGATGTCTAATTCCTACTGATGTTAAGAACAGAAACAGTCATTTATGTGTGGAGACCCTTGCAACAAACACCAAAAAACACTTTCTACAGGAATGTGCACCAACTTGGGCATTGTGTCATGGTGTTAGGTCTCCTTCAAGTACAACTTTTGACCTTGGGAAGGAATACTAAAGCAAGCACAACACCATTTCTCTCCAGTAAGGGGTTTTATCTATTTTGACTTCAGATGATTTATGGTATATGATTTTGGATTTCTTAATTTGTGTGTCATTTGTTCAGAAGAAACACTGAATCCAATCCTAGAAACTCTAGCCACATGAATAAAATAAACTACTTCTGGAAGTTGTTTATATGTATATGAGCTAGCCATCAAAAAACTCACCACAGCTGACTGCTTTCTGAATGTAACATCGTTCTTGCAGATTGGAATTACATTGCATGGTACTGCTTGTTCTAAAAGGCTTTTTTTTTAAGGTTCCGGCCATTGCAGAGAACATACACTTGGGCAGCAGAATTAAACGTTACTTCTAAGTTTATTTTAGCCAAATGAATATAGTCGCTGGGATTATTTAAGATTATTTTTCCCAATGTTCCATGTATACTTGAAAGCACAATTTTACCTTTAAACATACATTTCCTTGTCCAATTAATACCTGTCATATACGCAACAGTTACTAATTAAAGAGCAGATGATAACACTCATTTTGATGCAATAAAATCTTATCACAGAATACCAGGTTGGAAGGGACCTCAGGGATCATCTGGTCCAACCTTTCTTGGCAAAGCATGACCTAGATTAGATGGCCCAGCACTCTGCTCTACCTGTCTTCTGCTTTTTTGCCCTTAATAAGCCTCCTTTTGTTTTTTTTTCTTTTAGTTAAGCAAGACTCTTAAAAACCTTTATATTTATACTCAGAGCTCTATATTCATATTTAGGCATAAATCCTATTTATGTCAGTGGGTCTCAATGGGATTTTGCCTGAGGTAAGTCTAGAAGATGCTGATCTGATGTTCATGCATTTTGACAAAAACATCTCCACACATTTTGAGTTCTTCAGTGCTGACAGTATTGGTCTTGTTTCCTTCACATCCTACCAACTCAGTGCATTGAATATTTAACAATACAGGTGACACGAGGTCCCATTGCATGATTCATATAAATAGCATGAAAATTGAAACCAAATTTTCTTCCATCTCTATAGTATATATAAGGCTGGAAAACTGATCTAAAATAATACAATGTCTCCCATATACACCAGTGGTAATGAAAAAGAAGCTAGGATAAAGGATATTTACCAAAAAAAAAATGAACAGATTATAAAATTTTAAAATATTTTGCTGCCACCTTCTGGAATTAAATAAAGTGTGCACCTCATGTTTTTGTGGCATGGACATAATTTAGCCTGTAATAATGTTAGGGATTGCTAATATGTTAGCAATCGCTAACATTATTAATAACAATATTAATGTTAGCAATCGCTTACATTATTACAGAGAACACACACATTTGTTTTTTCTTACTTTTTAAATTCTAAACAAGTATGCCCAATTTCCACAGAGATGGAATTGCACAAAGATGGAATAGCATAGATGCAAAATTAAGGCTGAATAGAGGACAAAAAATTGTGCAGCAAGCATAACTCTCAACAAATGCCATGAAAAATCAGCATTAGTTGGTCATAAAGAAATATAGGTAAACAAAGCAGCTAGCTACTCATGGATGATACATAAATATCAATTAATCATTCACAGTTGTTAGTTTAAATCCAATGTTACCTGTTAGAACTTGGGTCCTCTTTCCCCCTAAATGTGTTGAGGTCTTTGCATAACTGCACTGTTTTTACAATGTAACTCAACATAAATAAACAAGAGGCAAACAAGTCCTAAGGCTCTGTCCTACATATTTGCTCCATGTTTCTGTCAGAGAGATTTTCTTCTGCACAACATGTGAAAATGTAATGTGTTTGGAGGAAGATTAATACATGCAAATATAACACCAGTACAGAAAGCATGTTAGAAGTCCTTTATTAGCACTAAAACAACTGGACCATGTCTTATTTTAGTAAAGGAGCAATCAGAAGCATTTAAACTGGAGGAAGAAGTGTGTATTTGTATGTAGTCCTGACGTCAACGGTTTTCTTTTGATGAATGAGATCAATATTCCCAGATCATTCTGCAGTTTGATCTCCCCATCACTGCTCATATGAAGACAGATAAGCTTGGGGACAGCCAAGGACACGTGCTGCTTGGTGAAGTGTCTGGCCAGCCAGAGGCTAGTGAGCTCCACACGTGTGTTGCCAACCACCACTGGGGGAAATACAAACTGGAGTATTAGGAGGTACAAGCACCAGGTGAATTACATTGTCACTCCTTAATCTCTAAAATTTAAAATTTTAATCTAAGATTTAAATCCAAAGGAGGACATTTTGGACAGTTAACCCAATTGGAAGAGCGTCTTCTGCCACAACAATATGCCTGTGGTGGCACACAGGTATGTCTGTACCTTGTGGGAGCAGGTATGTGTGCTGTATGTAGGGTATGGGCAGAAATAATAAACCCTGTGGACCACAGCTGGTTTGCTCAAAGCACGGGTGAGGTGACTTGGGCCCAGGTAAGAAAGTTGCCCAGTGGTGGCAGAAGGCCTCAGTTCTGATGCACAGACATGTCTGTCCTCCGCTGTCCTTAACGTCTGCGCCGGCGGCCACAGAGAACAGAGGTCCCGAAGGCCTGGACCGCCGCTCAGCGATCTAAACCTCGCAGTTACAGCACCGCGGGTGCCACCCCACCTGCAGCCCCGGCGCGAAGGCGGAGCGTTCCGCCAGCCGGTCCCGGGCCGCCGCTGGCCCGCCCTTTGTTCGGTCGCTCGGCGCCGTTGCTAGGCGACAGGCAGTGCCGCCGGGGGCAGTGCCTCTCGTAGGGCCGGCCGGCCGGCGGGGACGCCGCCATGTCTAGGGCAGGAAGCGGTCGGCGGTCGTCGGGCCGAGGCGCGGTGCAGGTGAGCGGGGGGGGGGGGCCGGGGGCGGTGGCAGGCCGCTGGCGGGGAGCGCGGCCGGTGGGGCCGGGAAGCGGCGGCGGTGGCGATTGGCTGCCAGGGGGTTTCTGCGACTGCGAATACAGCCGTTCGCTGTTAAAGACAACACGCAGAGAAAAGCAGGTTTAGCAAATCAAAATGAAAACTGGGCAGCCGGTGTCCTTGTGTGCAGACACCAAAAGCTGCCCCCTGTGCATGACCCAGGAGCCAGTAGCTACAGGATGTGGACAGCTTGACTTCCCAGTTCTTCATGGTCCTGCAAACATGTCTGGCTAAAGGACCAGCAGCAGCTGACAGCAGGTGCCTCAGGAACAGCGTAAGAGGCATGTCAAGAAACCTGTCCTAAGGCCTTCAGTGGTGTGTGACTCAGTCTTGAATCAGCTCAGATTCCTTTCTTAGTGTATTTTTAAGCTGCAAGTAAGGCTAGTTGCGTTGATAACCCATATATATGTGCTGTGTCCACGATGTCCTACAGCAAGGAGTCCAGAATACCAGTGGTTCTTCCATTGTTTCCGAGCTGCCACCTGCTTCAGGTTCTTGTCCTGCAACACTGAACAAAGAGGTCCCTGATCACCCTCCCTGTCACTGGTGGCTGTGCAGGCATTTTTGTTGTGCTGCTCTTGCCTAGCAAAACCAATGAAAAGGGAAGAAGTGTCAAATGGTGATACATAATTATTGCCAAAAATGGAAAAGGGATATGCAAGATATGTTTCTTATGGCAAAGAAATGCAAATTTAATACATGGATTTTGTACACACACACACACACACACACATATATATATAAAACAAAGGAAAGTTTGGGGAATGATGATAGATTGAAAATAGTGTATTTTACTTACCCTTCACAATAACTTACAGTTAAATAGATTAGTCTTATGTGTGTGTGGGAGGGAGGAATTGATGCTGATCTTAAAGAAGTGAGTTTTCCCTTTTATGTAAGAGTTATTTGTGAAACCATTTTAGGATGAGCTACAAAAAGCAATTACTGCACATGCAGCAAGAGAGCAAGCAGCTGAGTACTCAGATGACTTTGAGAGTGACAAAGATAATGTGCTAAATGGTAAGACAAAATATTCTTCCTTGTTGTTCTTCCCTTTCTTAACTAATTACTAGATCACAGACAATCTTTGTGAGTCAGTAGATTTCATTGTACAAGATTTTGTGTTCTAACAACTTCTAAATCATTTAGTCCTTCTCTTCCAAGTTAGGAGCAGAACTCCTAGTGGCATCAGTGGTGGTGCCAACCTCCTAGAACAGAAGCTGTTTCCCACAGTTGCGGTGGCCAGTTTTACTTCCTAGCCATACTGTTTACACCTGGATGGGACAGTAGCACGCAGCACTGTGAATGAAAATGTACATGGGCAGAGAGAAAGCTGTGTTGTCTTACTGTTTTCCCAGTCTGGACAATCAGGAAATAAGGGCTGCAGGACGCACTGCAGAGCATGCTGGTATGCTTGCCTGGCAGTGTACACTAGCCAGGATCTGGCTGTTTTTCTTAGGACAGGATGCATTTGACATTTGATAATATTTATGTTTAGTCTAAGGAGATTGGTCAAATATCTCTTCTTCCTCCTCATGTGGTGGAGCATATTAAGGGAAATATGAGTCTTAAATACCATAATGTATTTTTCAGAGTCATAGAATACTTTGGATTGAAAGGAACCTCAAAGATTACATAGTTCCAAACCCGCTACCATGGGCAGGGACACCTTCCACTAGGCCAGGTTGCTCAGAGCCCCATCCAACCTGGCCTTGATCACTTCCAGGGATGGGACATCCACAGCTTCTCTGGGCAATCTGTTCCAGTGCCTCATCACCCGCACAGTAAAGAATTTCTTCCTAATATCTAATCTAAATCTGCCCTCTTTTATTTTAAAGTCATTTCCCTTAGTCCTATCGCTACATGCCCTTGTAAAAAGTCCCTCTCTAGATTTCTTGTAGGCCCTCTTTAGGTATTAGAAGGTCTAAGGTTTCACTGGAACCTTCTCTTCCCCAGGCTGAACAAGCCAAACTGTCTCAACCTGTGCTTTTTCAAAGGACTTCCTTTGTGTCTCATTTTTCATTCACATCTGAAACATCTTTTAAAAGTTTGTGAGATGCTTTGATTTGCCTTTGCTAACAAGATTTAGAAAAAAAGCTCCTCCTGCATTAACTATGGTACGCTATCATGACACTTTTTGTTGTCTTCCTCAAGCATTTGAGCTCTGAAATTGTCACTTAAAAATAGCAGGCTGCACAAAGATAAAAATATTTTTGTTAAACACATGAACCTTAGCATTAGAGCAAATACCTCCTTTGAGTATCTTCTGGTAGATTTCAGATGGGACAGAAGTGAAGAGAATAGAATTCTTTCTATTAGAAAGAATTGTTATTCTTTCAGTAGAAGTGGATTGAATGGAGGTTGGATTCTGGTAACCAAACATGCCTAGTTTTGTGGTTGCTGACTTGCTTCCACTTATGGCACTGGAGACCTAGTTTTTTAGAAAGGATTTGAACTGCATAACAGATAAGAATTAACCAGTGAATATTTCAAGTATTTTATTTGGATTGGGTCCATGGAAATAGATGACAGGAAAGGAAGTAGAATAAGTATCTAGCTTGGTGGCTTTGCAGAGGTCACAGGTAGAGAAAGAGAAATGCTCAGAGACTTAAGTCAGGAGAATATTATATGAAAAATATTTTTCAGTTATAGAAGATACAGTTTGTGTCCCATTTTTTACACTTGTCTCAAGTGGAAGTTGATAATGTGTTATTTTCAGGTGTTGGGGAAGAACTTAATGAAAGTTATTCAAGTGATGAAAGCACTAAGAAATCAGTTGCTGTTGAGAGTCCTCTCTCAGATGATGATGCTTCACAAAAGGCAGCAGATTTGGAAAATGAAGCTGTTGATGACTTCTCTTTATCCTTTCATGGAAAGAAGCTTCAGCAAATAACACTTTTAGAAAGTGAAAACATACAGGATGACAGAAAAGATGGTGAAGAAGAATGTTTGAAGATTCAAAATGGGAGTGATGACGGAAAAAATAATAAAGAGCGTTCAGCTGCTGAAGAAGTACGGCGTGATAATAATGAAAGTGACCACTGCAATGACTTGCCTATTCATAAACTGCAAAAGAAAAGAAATCAGGAGAGAAAAATACCAATACCAAAGCCACGGGTGCACAAACCAAGAAATGCCTCAGCATCAGGTGAATAGAAACATTTGAATGTTGTTGCTCTTATTTGCTTAGCCATATTATAATATTTTAAAGTGTTATAACTTGGCTTATTTTCTGTGTTAAGTATCAGCTGCTTTGGCTTGCAGGAAATTTATTCAATATTCTTCTAAAAATACATGTTTTGCTATCCTCCAGCTTCCAGAGGCTAAACTGAACCCAACGTGGGCCAAATAGCAGGAGGTTCTTATTTCCTTTTCCTTTCAGGAGATGAAAAACAGTTGTTTTGGGTGCTACTTTGGGTCCAGCTCTTCATCAGCCTATGTCCATGGAAGGTGTGGGAGGGCTACAGAGTTGCCATCTCTGTGTGTGCATAGCACAGATTCACACAGTATCCACAGCATATATGTACCCTTTAATGGAAAGGTCCTTAAACAGGCATCCCTTCTCTAGGGCCAGTGAAGTTGGACTGCAGTGTTCACAAATACAATGTTGAAATTGTGATGCTGAGACATCACAGTGCTATAATGTAACGGAATCCAGAAAATGAGCTGCAACCAAAACATTTTTGAATGATAGACTTCTCGTCGTCACAAAATTAAAACTTCAAATGTTCTTTTATTTTGAAGTTACTGAGCCACTTTTAATATAGTCAAATATATTAAAAACCTGAACTTTAGTGTTTCATTATAGGAATAGCTAATTAATTTTTAATATGAAAAGAGAAACTTTCTGATAACTGACTTTATATACTTTTACAAATTTCAAATATCAAAGGACTTCATATTTTTTATCTACTTCCTAACATGAGAAAAATTCGTTCTGTTTGATGTTGAGAAAAATTTATGACTGTCATTACCTGTGATGGAAGATTACAACTTTGAAATTGATAGAGCATGATTAGTGATGTCAGCTCCTTTTTTTCATTCCACATGATGGCACCAAAGGGCTGGATATGTGACTGTGCAGCTAGGCAGATGGCTTTCCTTACCGGTATGCTTGTGTAGTTTTAGACTGGCAGAAGACGTAATCCTTTTCTTCATGTGGATCTTAAGTAGTACAGTGGTACTAGCATATTATCATCAGTAGTCAACCGTTGCAAATTTTCTTGTATTAGATAAATTGATCTCAGTCCAACAGAGGAGGTGATTATCCAGAGATTAATCAGCTTTTTCTGCTGCTTTGATTTTTCTTGTGATTTACTGTATGGAAAAACTGTTGGTGCACTTGCAGGAACATTGTGACTTCTTAGCTCTCTTAACTTTACACTAATTACATAGACATTACTCAGGTGACTGCTGGATGGGTCTGATGATTCTCTCATTTCCTGTGATAGAATTGCATGAACTAGGGACTTAGTAAGAAATGCTTATGTGTCAATGCGTGGAACTAGATAAGTGTTTCTATGTGGATCAGCATGCATAAAGAAAAAGGCAGGTAGAAAGGTTATATAGCCTGATTTTGTTGGTAGTGGGCCAGGGGGAAGAAAACGTGAAAAAGGTAGCATTGCTAAGCAGGAGGAAGGTGAGAAGCCAGAGGACAGAAATCTGTGAGAAATGTTTGCATGGTGGTTCTGCTGCCCAGTGGCCGACAGCCTTAGGCAGGGAGCAGAGATGTCATTGAAGAAGCTAGAAACCCAACGCAAGCCCTCCTCTTCAACTGCACTTCTTAATGATGTCTCCTCCTACCTAGGTTGCTCTGTTCTGCACCATGCGGAGCAAGTGAAGCAGTCTTCCCTTTGTACCTTCACTAGTAGATAACTGGAGAAGCAGAATTGCAGAAAGGGTTTCTTACAACAGAACTGTATTAAATATGCTCTCTTCTAGATTTATGAAAACTCTGTCTCTCTCTCTCTTAATTGCAGATAAGCCCTTAAGTGTAGTTTCAATATGTACAGAGATAATGATAAATGGAAAAAATAAGTTCATAGATTGTCTATGTAGAGATTATATTAGAAGCTGTAAAACTTTCATTAAACTTTGTGAAAAAGTGGCTGTAACTCTTTATATAGATGTTTGTATATGGCCTCACTGTGTTAAGAAAGCTGTGCTATTATTTAAATAGCTCATTTAACTGAAAATAGTTGAATCTGTCTTGACATAGTAGTGTTCCAGACTAAAATGTCTTTAACTAGACATAACTGAAACTGTAATGTTTATTTTCAGCTGAGGATGTCAGCATTCCTTCATTAGATACCTGTTCTAGACCATCACCTCAACGACGAAGTATGTTGAGAAAAAGTAGTCCTGTGGAAAATAGGACAGAAGGAAAAATAACTTCTAGAAAAGAATTTTCTTCATTTTCGGCATCGTCATCCCTAACTGCTAAGAATGCCCAAGCCACATCCAAGAAAAAACTGCTTGCTAAAATCCCTGGTGCTGAAGTAAGAGAGTATATGTGTTGATATTTGCCATCTGCATTGAAAACTTGAGAAACTAAGTTTCATTTAGCTGACAAAACTTTCAGGGAGAAAAATAGAACAAAAAAAAAAGGAGTGGGAAAAAATGTCTTTGCCAGTAGCATTCTTTTGAGGGCCAGATAAAAGAATATCACTGTTTTTATTTCTAACTAGAAACAGGATTTTGTGATGGTTTGCAGCCATATGTGCTGATTGTGCATGTATTTCTACAAATATAAAATAAGATTTATACTTCTCCTAGAGAGTTCTGACACGCATTCTGTCAAAGTATTATAAAGTCAAGTTAAATTATACTGATGTGCTATGATTTGCTCACTTATATGTCTGTCACTTTCTGATCTCAGGGTCCATGCCTAGAGAGTATTTTACCATCATATTCCATTAATTTTACTTCCCCAAATGAAAGATTTGGAGACTCCGATTTCCTGATGTGTGGAGAAGCACCACCTGTAAAAGGTAGAGCCTAGATACGTACAACGAGATATTTGTTAACCATTTATACCTTAGTAATATCTAATGGTACAATACAAGCAATCTTAAAATCAGCAGCATTCTTAATTTCCGTTCTATTCCCTTGCAGTATCTTTCTCATGCCCTTGTGTCTTCTTCTTTTCTGATTTTGAGAACGGCCTGGCCTAGCCTCCTTGCAGATATGTTCAAATACAGTATCATGCCAGGTACTGAGAGATTTGGTCTTAGAGGCATCCCAGGAATAGAAAGAAGAGATTAAAGTTGGACAATTTAGATTTTGTACTTTGACTTATGTCAAGGGTATGCATCATTGATTATAAGCATCTTTGAGGCTTAAGTCATTTGATTTCCTCTTGCAGTCAACGTGACTAGGGTAGACCTTTCATTTCTTCTTTCACTTTTCCCAAAAAGTTTAATATAAACTGAGTTGTGGGATTTTTTGCCCTTTTTTTTTTTTTTTCTTTTGATTTGTGAATCACTAACAGTTCTTAGGGGTGTGCAGACCCTTTAAGAAATACCAGATCTGTAGGCTTCTCAACAGTATCCATTGACTTTACCTTTCTTAGCCCCCTTTTTTTCAGACTGGTTACAAAAAATATGTGGTCACAGGTTGAAAACCACTGGAATGGGCTTTTAGAAACCTTTTTACCCATCACTGTACTGGAATGGGTAGATTCTCCACATGCAGGGACAGCATAAGAGAAAGAGAATAATAAAGGTGGTGGTGTCAGGACAAAGGAGGACATAGAAACAACGATACAGAGACTTTAACAAAGGCAGAGGAAAAGGGATTGGAAAAAATTGCTTAAGTGTGATGCTGAAGTGTGCAGGTGTAAGAATTCCCAGAAGACTGATCAAACTTGTATAGCTTGAACTGTCAAGAAAGTAACTACAATAATAATACATGCAAGTTTCATGTGGCATTTCTCAGCTAAGGGAAGGTTGGTATTTTGTATCCATTTTGCAAACAAAGCTAAACTGACTTGTGTGTGAAGTTTATCCTATATAGTGCTCATAGTAAATCTGCTGTCACCAGTGCCGTGTGTGCTACATGCTGCGGCTTAATTGGAGTTGTACAGTTTCTGATGCCAACAGTTTACATAGAGTTTTACTATCTAGTAAGTGTAAAGTAAATGAAAGTTTACATATCAACACATAATAGAAAATGATTCATATAAATTCAGAATCCTCCTTGTCACCTAGAACTTACCCTCATCATTGTAAATCTAGGTTAATTTTTTTAGATTGTCAGCACTGATACTCCTTTCTTCAGGTAACTTGGAGTTAATCTCTCAATCCACAATTCGTATTTCTTTTGAGAATTCCATCTAAAGATTGTAGAAGACTGTAATTTGGAGTTTACCATGGCCTTTTCTGGTTTGTGTCTGAATTGTTTTGCAAATTTAAATCTTTGCATTGGTACAGATCTGATAAAAAGGGGGGTTTAAGTATTATTAATAGTTTCATAAATGACAAGTTCACCATTTAGGCATACATTTAATTTGAGGTGATGTTTAAATCCCCACCACAGGATCTTTCCATTGTTTCCCTGTGTGTCCTGTACCCCTGAAAAACACCACACAATGAAAGCAGTTTTTGTGACCCAAGTTGTTGTAGAAACTTCATTAGTAGTTTGCTAGATGTCAGAAGAACTCTTGCTGTGGTTGCAATGGCTCTTGCTTTTGTTTTTTCCATTAGAACCGTGTTTGGGTGGTAAGGCAGATGGGAAGTTTTGCCTTTGACGTGCTCCCACGTTCCAGAATGTTTGTTAAAACTTCAGTCGCTACTCCAGTCTTACATGTATATACAATACAAATGAATACTCTTCTTAACAGTCCATATAGTTCTTAGAAAGAAGTATACAGAAAAAAAAATTATATCAAATTTTGTAATAAGTTTCAGAAAGTGATGGTTTTAGTGCAGAAATAACAATACTTGGAAACAATGAAATTCTTGTTAATGTGTCTTTTCAATATTTTTTTCCTGTTAGATCAAGATCAGATCAACGCCAGTGACTTGAAACTGAAGAACAATAATAGAAAATCCTCTGCTGTGACAAAAGCAATGATGAACACAGTAAATGAGGAAACAAAGAAATTAGAGAAGTCAGCAGAAGATAGTTCAGATGAAAAGGTGAAAACAATGGAGGGGCAAGTAGTAACTGATACAATACAGAAGGTATCGGTAAATGATCAATCTGAGCATGGGGAGGCAAAGAACACTTCAGAGGACTGTATCAAGGTATTATTCATATGCATTTTTACCATTGTTTAGAACAATGTCCTAGAAGCACAGTGAAAAGTAAAGTTACTGTTGGTACCTTAAATGTGCAGACCTCTGTAAAGCTGATAATTTATCTCTGGCTTCTAGAATGGAGGCTCTGAGAAATTCTGTGTAGTTTTAAGGAAGCTGTAGGAAATACCTTTTACACAAATAATTTAAATCAAATAAATGTGTTTGCCAATCTTAAGAAATAACCTTATCCAAATGAAAACATCAAATCGCTGTTGTCAGGTTAGAAGAATTGAAATGGGCAGTGTATGTTGGCCGAGAATGGAATCCATGGCGTGACTTGAATAATGGATAAGATGCAAAGCACTTTATCATAGGAAAGAAAATATGTAGATATACTTAACTGTTAAAGTTAAGTATTAAAAATGGTTAAAAGTGTTGATATAATAACAGGGAAACTTCTTTTTTTTTTTTTTTAATTTCTTACCCTGTACTGTACCCTTTCTATATTAAAGTGGTTTTCTTGCCTATTCTTCTAACATCATATGATCACAGAATGTTTTGAGTTGGAAGGGACGCATAGGGATCATTGAGTCTAATTCCCTCCCAGCATTGTTAGATTGTAGAAATCTGTTTAATCCTGGTCTGGTTCTGTTACATAACTATAATTTTACTTTTCCTCTGTGTTTCTTAGAAACTAAGTGAAACAAAAGAGAGTGTTCTACAAGTCAGGAAAGCTTCTTTATCTGACAGGTAAGGGAAAGGTGCTATGTATCAGACTCCACAGAGTGTGAGGTGCATGTAACTGCCCTGACAATGCTTCTTCATTCTTGTTTTCTGTCAGCATTGTCTTCACTGCTGACAACTAAACAGGTAAAAAGTTTAGTGGATGTAGCCTGCTATTCTAACCCTTGGTCAAGGTTGTACCAGATCAGATTCCAAGTCTTTTGCCAGTGTCTGTAATGAGTGCGGTCTACTAGCTCCACCAGTGTATCTAGTTCGTGATGTCTTTACAGGTTTTAAGCTGGTTTGTAGGTAAATGAGCAAGGGATTTTTAAACTTTCTTTGGCTGGATATGTTGAGTAGTGGCTTGTTTTGGGAATAATAAAGCCCTCAGGAGAAAATGGGCTTCTTCCTCTTTCCCCTATGCCCAGCCAAGTGCATGTAGAGACAATCACAGTAACTTTTAATACACACTGAGATAAAAGGAAGACACCTTGGTATCAACTACAGTAAATGGAAAAGTCGATAATATGTGTGTCTTGATATTTTTATAGGTCTCTGTGTTCTGCACACTTGAAGAAAAAAGTGAAAGCTGTTCCATCAGCTACACCTGTTTCATCTCAGTATATGGGATCATTAAAGGTGTTGGAGGATAAACATGTGCAGAAGAACAGTACAGAATTTAACAAAGCAGATAGTTTACGAGCAGCTGTTTTTCAGGTAGATCATAAAACCAAACAAATAAGAAATGAACAAAACAACCAACAAACAAAACTATGCATATAAAGGCCCTGTTATAGGAGTTGACACCTCCTATTTCCTGGAGATCAGTATTTCTCAGTATATTCTTTGCATATGCTTACAGGTATAATAATCCTTTTATTCTGTTGGCTATGCCTTGTTGTCAAATATGGACTAAAAAGCTAGCTATGAGGGACATACCATGTTTCACAATTTATTATGTCAGACTATTTCTGGACATATATATTATTTTTCTTCATTTCTGCTTCTTCCTAAACATAGATAAGTGTGTAGCTTCAAGTTTCTTTTCCTGCTATGTTCTATTAAGTTGGCATTCAGGAAAAGTGTCTAGTCTAGTATTCTCACCAGAAGGATTAATCTATGTGGATTGCGTGTAGAATTTCATAAAGATTAGTTTGTGGGTTCCAACAGATTTTTGCTACTAATCTGTGTGAGATTTATTTACTTTTATTTACAGATGCTGTTCATATTTGTATGTGTTTAGAATACTGGTTATTGTTCTAGAACAAAATTTCAAACCTCAAATACATACTTACATTGTCTCCATTATTTTTAAAGGTAAAATAGGCTTAATTTAGGACACTTGCATCTCTAAGCAGCCTACCAAATATTTAGTTAAAACTTGAAAATTTAAGTCTGATAGCTCATAACACTTTATGAATACTTGAAGCGTCTCTTTTCACAGTTGGATTTTATTCTCTTAATTATAGGTAGACAATTATAGTGACAATAAATGTAAACAATGTTCAATATACCAAGTGATGAGAATCCTTATTCCATTCTTCCTTTTTTTTTTAATGCTTACTTTTTTTGTAGTTTTTTAAAAGATTTTTTAAAAGGTTTTTTTCTTAAAGATTCTTAAACTTTTTTGTATTTTACAGCCATAGTTTAGAACCTTAGACTTTTTTGATCACAATGTTTATGTGATCACAGCTTGGTCTTCCAAATGGAGTAGTTATTTAAGTAGCTATTTAAGTAGTTATTTAAGTAGTTATTTAAGTAGGAAGAATTTAGAGTAATTTTGGTGGTCATTATATTGGTGCTACTCTAATAACATTTGGTTGTTTTAACAGAACTTTTTTAGTTATAGCTTTAAAAGATTTCAAAAGTATAAAACTCTTCTAAATGATTCTCACAGAATTGGTTGGAAATGAAAAAGCACTTCCTACAGGAATCAAAGAGGATTGAAAAGGAGAAAGCTGAAAATCTAAGGAACAATATTGAAAAGGTTTGTTTACATTCTTGTTTAAGAAGTTGACAAACTATAGTTCTTTGAAGTATGCTTACCTGTGCTTTATGCCTAATTACATCACTGCTATTCTAAGGCATCCTGTTTTTTCTAAATAGCATGAGGTGAGTCAAAACACTAAATGGTGTGTCCTACTTATGGTTGCTATAAAGTGTGTGTGACTGATGCTTCCCTACACATTTTCATAAGGTATGTTAGAAGTGTGCTTTGTAATTTTCAGGTTTGTTTACCTTGGGAGGTGCAACCCTTGAGGTGTTAAGTTTCAATTTGTCATTAAATTTGTCCTATGTTAGAAAATGTATGTGCTCCCTGTCTCAAGAGATGATTATCTATGGAAGACTCTATTTTGATTAGTACCATACAAAATTCTTAGATTTGGCTTTTAAGTATTTATGATGTTTCACTTCTAAGCATTTAACATGTATTTCATATTCTTTTACACATATTTTGCAGGAATAGTTTGTCTCGATTAAGTTAAATTAAAAATGAGCATAGAAATAAACCACTCTGTGTAGTTAACATTTAATACTGAGTATTACTTGGAATGTTGTCTGCAAATCATCTTCCATTTCTGTATCACTCTATCTCATCCTACATTTGATAATGAGTTTAAAGCATACTATTTCAATTATAGTTTTATATTTAACTGCATTTAAATGTACACTTATTTTCATTCTAGAAAGAAGCTGTTAAAAGAGAGGAAGCAATTGCATCTTTTGAAGCATGGAAAAGGAAGAAAGTGAGAGAAGCAAAGGAGTTAAGGGAAAAAAAGAAGCTTGAGGAACGTAAGAAAAATGAAGCGGCAGAACAGAATAAGGATAAAAGTGAAGCAGCACAGAAGGTGATGTGAAATATGTACATGAATGAGTATCGGATATGGTTCAGGAGATTGTTGAGAATAATTTTGACTAATCCAGTAAGAGATAGAAACAACCTAGAATCTAAAATCCAAACATAGTAGTATTTTAAGAAAGCTCATATTAGATTCTGTTCTGTTGGAAGTATGTAATGTTAACCTTTGCACCCGAACAGACATTTTTTTCCATATTTCTGTTTGACTGATTGAACATAAAATAAACTCCATATGAATACACTGGCAATGAACTGGGAAAAAATAATTTATTCTTTTAGATACAGTGATACCCATTTCTGAGCAATGCTACAAACAAATATTCCAAAATTGGAATATGCAGAAATTAGAAAAAAATAATAATTCAGAAAAAGCAAATGAAGTACTGACAAAAAGGTGAGGGATAAGATTTCTAATGAATCTGTAGTTTTCTTCAGGCATTTGAAAAATGGAAAGAAAAAAAAATGGAATATTTAAGAGAACAAAGCAGAAAGGAAAAACAGTCTGAATCAAGAAAGAAGAAGAAAGAAGAGGAGCTGGTTGCAGAGAAGAAGAGAGACAGCAAGTCAGCAGTTGAAAAATGGTACTACTCCACTGGGGTTTGAAATATCATAGTTTCCACATCTTTGTTTATAAATGCAACAGGTCTTCTGTGAGTGCTTGGTGTGCTTTTAGTTGAGAGACAGTGACATGCTTGGGATCACAATCTTCAGTCCCAATGGAGAACAAGTGTAACAATGAGAACAAGCTTCTTTCAGTTTAGTAACTTCAGTGCTTTCCTCCCCAGAAGGCTACTGACTAAGCAGAGATACTGAAACTGAGAAGTAATATTCATTGAGTGGTTTATGAGAAGCTCAGCATGAGCTGACAGTTCGTGCTCAAGGCCCAGACGGTCAACACTGTCCTGGTCTGTTTCAGGTGATTCTGCCCCTCTGCTCTTGTGAGACCCCAGCTGTGGAGTACTGTGTCCAGCTCTGGGGACCCAAGAAAAAGAGGGAAGCGGACCTCTCGGGGGAGTCCAGAGGAGACAACAAAGATGATCAGAGGGCTGGAGTACCTTTCCTATGGAGACAGGCTGAGAGAGTTGGTCTTGTTCAGCCCAGCCTGGAGTAGAGAAGGCTCTGGGGAGACCTTAGAGCAGCCTTCTAATTCCTAAAGTGTGCCTACAGGAAAGCTGAAGTGATAGGACAAGGGAGAATGGTTTTAAACTGAAAGAGGGTAGATTCAGATTAGATATTAGGAAAAAAGTCTTTACTATGAGGGGGGCAAGACACTGGAACAGGTTTCCCAGAGAAGCTGTGGATGCCCCATCCCTGGCAGTGTTCAAGGCCAGGCCGGGTGGATGGAACTGCATGATCTCTGAGGTCCCTTCTAACCCAAACCACTCTATGATTCTGTGATTCTATAATTTGTCGTCTGATTAGTCTCATGCTTCATTACCAGGCCATAGGAAGGAAGGTAAATCTTTATGTAAGAGTTCTGTGGAATAAAAAGTGTGAATGTAGATATATTCAGAAGCAAATGAGATGTGTTTGCTGGAGCAATTCTTTGTTAGTTCTACAAGACAAAGAGTTTTCGTAGAATATGTGCAACTTACTATTGTTCACTGAAGTTTTAAGTCTGTTTTTTTTATATGATACCAAATAAGAGTGAAAGTAGTACAGAAAAGCTGATAGCATGCTAGAATAGTAGGTTCATATATACCTTGGTAATACATAAAGATGTACTTTGAAGATTGTAAATATATATTCTTGATCTTTTATCAAATGTGTAAAATATCTTTTGACTTAATTTAGTTAATCAGTCACAGATGCATCATTTATTCTGTTACATGATGATCTCCTGTTATTCCCTGTCATTATACAGGAATGAAAAAAAGGAAGAATATATAAAACAGAAGAAAGCAGAAAAAATCCAAGAGAGAAGAAAGCAGGAAATTCAACAGGCGAAGAAGGAAGAAAAAAACAAAAAAGCTATGGAGGAATATGAAAAATGGCTGGTATATTTTTCTTTTCACTTTGTCAAAACTAGAAAGATTAATGAATTAATGAGTGTGAACACTGAAGTATTGCTATGCTAATGTTTTTTCATGCTGTTATGAGTGAGGCCAGATGATGGCAGCATTACATAGGTAGTTCCCCAAATTTCTGAAGCAAAATTGGTAAAATATGGTGGGCTTGATATTTAGCATGCAAGAAAACATATTCTGCCTACCTACGTGTCATAGTGTTTTGCATTTTACAATTAGTCTTAATTTTTTGACATTCCATGTCAGGAGCAACCATCTCTGAGGGGCCGGCCAGCCATCCCTGCAAACCCAAGCAGCATCACCAGCAGCAACAGTGTGCATATATATTCAAAGAAGCATTTAAAGTGGAGACTTGTATACCTTAAAATTGATGAAGGCACTTGTAATGAGCATATCCATTTACTAGACAGGGTGGAATTCTGGTGCTCCCAGCTATATTTTTCCTGCAGCAGTGTACTTTGATCGCAGTTCTTAAGCAGAGAACTAACCTAGTACTCAAGTCCTAACAATAACGCAGCTGGTTTAAGGTCCTTAACATTCAGTTACATAAAAGAGCAAGAACCTGCATGTCTTCCCTTCTATTTTCAAACCTTTTTAGTCTTAGGTTTAAGTCCTTTAAGATCTTTTTCGACCTGTTTCCCTGTCACAACGCCTCTGATTTCTGTAATCATTAGAAAGATGTGTTTTGTTTGGTCTTCGTTGTCAAGTGATTTCCAGCTCAGTTTTGACAAATAATTAATGTCCCATCTTAGACTATTTCTTCCTGGTTTCCAAGGAGTTGCTATCCTTTCAGTAGCTAACGCTCTGTCCCAGTATGCTCCACTTACTCAGACTATCCTGAATTAGTGTAGTTGTACCAAAGCATGAAGTTACCTCTCACTGTGCATTTGACTTCTTTGCAGTCTTGGACTCTGTATGAAGGTAAAAGAATTATCTTTTTGGGGGGAATGTAATGTGCTGCCTGGCACATGCTCCCCTATCCAAATAGTGTATAAATTCATGAGGTCATCACTTCCATGAGATTATTAATAAAAGTTTTACTAGTTGGAGGAATGACTAGAGGATGTACAGGTGTCTACGTAAGACATAGAGTTCAAAAAATAAGCAGGTGTTGGAGGATATGATAGGTACTGAATTGGTTGGCAGAGGAACATCTGAAATTGTCTCATGTTCAGTGTCTATGTGCAAGTGTTTACTGATGTGTCTCATTCCTGGTCTTCACATTATTGCTTTCAGAAACTGTGCCAGCTTTTGCAGCTAAAACACTTTTATTTGAGAAAGCATATCAGACAATAGGTCTGTATTGTGTTTGGCCAGAATATTATCTCACTTTCTACAGTAATAGAGAAAATACACACCTTCAGTGAACTGCAGGAGAGAAATGCCCATGAAGTCCCAATGTATTATCAAGGGAACTAGGATGATATCTGCCTACAGGTAGATAAACAAGCATCAAATCTGAGAGGGCAGAATTGTGGAAGCCTTTTAAGTGCATTACGTCAAATAAGAGGATTTTGTCTGAAGGGAAATAGAATAGGGGTAATATGGTGGGAAGTATTCTACTATGTTTTCATTAACAAGTAACAGAAATACATGTGTAAATTCATCCTCAGCTTTCCTGAACCAGGTGTTGACTATAATGCATGGGTAAAACTGACATAAAAATCTCCTTGTAGTTTTTCTAAAATATAAGTAACATTCTGCTTTTATGATAATGGAAATTTTGTTACTTACACTTTTAGAGGTCATTTTGTGAATGTTTGATAACATAAGTGCATAGAGAAGATTACTTTTTAAGCATGAAAATAAAGGCCCTGAAAAAGGCTATTAACACTTGTTAAATACTAACATAAAAAGGATAATCTTGAGCTTAGATACTTTAGTACTGCGGAGGAAATTTAAGCTTCTGGTTTATTTGTTTATTTCATAGTATTTGCCTCTTGCTGCTCACCAAGTAGTCTCCAAGCTAATTTAGATATTTTGCTTGTTAAATGATCGTTTTTTACTTAATGCATAATACTAAAGTCCACTCCTGTTCTGAGGAGTAGAACGTGGAGAGGAACATGTGGGAAGTTTATAATGACAGATCAGTTTAGTTTCCATTATTCCTAAGACAGTAATCTTGATACCTGTTTTATGTAGAGAAGAGTGAGTATCCTAGATGTAATATGTTCTCCATTCCATGTGGCAAACATTAAGCTAGTATGAGTTGATGAAAAGTAAGGCTGCTTTCAAATAATTCTTGAAGATCAATGTAGTACGTTTAAATGCCCTAGAAGTTTGAAATTTTACCTTGAGGTTGAGCATGCTCAGCACCTATTTTTGGCATTCTAAAGCTGCTTAAAAACATCATGAAATGATGTACTAGGTGAATCTTACGGATTTGTTGCTTTTCTGGGTTAGAAACAGCTGACGTGCGTTATTCATTTCATATGATTTAATAAGATCTATCTGAAAATACTTTATATATTGGAATTTTAATCTCCTGGCATTGCAGTATGTTAGAAATAAGGCCGTTATTGTTACTCTTTTTAAACGTTGTAAGTCTTCTGTCCTATCTAAAATTCAGTTATTACATGGTAGTCGTACTGCTAAAGAATGTGATCTTCCCAGAATTATGTAAGTGAAAAATGTGTTCATCTTACTAGGCTATTGAGTAGGAAACTTCCACAGAGAAATCAAGCTGTACAATAAAGTTGATGTAGCGTATGACAAGCTATAGTTATTGATTTAATCTTTTATCATTTCTTCTCCTTTTAGTTCAAATAACATTTATTATTTTAGGGAAGATTTTATCAGTTGTGTCTTGTGAAAATATCAACTATAGCTAGGACTAGAACATAAAGTTTTGTTTGTATTGAAGGCAGAGAATAAGTCTACAGCTCTGTTGAAAGCAGAGAATAAGGGAATAAGGGCTAGGATCATGAGTTATGTAAGACTGCCATTTGTCTTACTGCTATCTTGAAAGAGCAGGACTTACACTGCAGTACAGTTTCATACATGTGTAAATGCGAAACTTTTAGAATGCTTCAAAATACTGGCTGATAGGCTGCAGAAGTGGAAGGGACCAAGGTTGGATTTGGTACAATTAATGATCTTAAGCCTTTATTACATCTTTACTACCAATAATGCGTATGCCAGTTCTTAGTCCTAGGAATGAATGCACTGTTCATGTGCCAGAAAGCCAGCTGCATGTCAAATGGGGTACTGTGCTCTGGTCCATAATGTCAGCCTTGGTTCCACCAAGAGAGAAATTGCTTTAAGTCAGTTAAGTGGTCTGCTCAAGCATGCAGCACAAACCTGCAGGTGCAATACAAAAAAACACTTGCACCCATGAAGAACTAACTCTCCAGTGCAGATGCACCCTTAGCTGCTGTCCTCACAATTATGAAATGGCAGTCATCTATATAAAATAAGCATAAAAACAATGCTTATTTTATATAGAACAGAACAACATAAAAATTAAAAAATAATATAAATAATTGCTATTTATTTTTTGAATGACATGTCTTTTGAAAATCATTAGTCATTCAGGCACAAAAAGAATATTGTAAGTATCTTGCCAATCCTTCAGCATGCTAATTGCCCATCACTGGAACAATAGAAAATATCATCACAACCTTGCAGTTTATAGGTTAGATAGATACTTGTTTATAATTAAATTTTTTAATTCCCAATTTGCTCTAGTACATAGGAAGCGTGATTTAATAAGTACAGAATGTTACAAAGATGTATCAGTGTTCTCATTACATGTGAATAACATATTTAGCATTGTGATTTAGGTATCCTTTTAGCAAAAATAGGTGATTGAGACTAATTATATACAAGACAAATACAGTACCTAATCCACTAGGCTTTCTGTTGGGCTTTTTGCTTAGAGAGTGCTCAAAGTCAGCCCATCCTTGAGGCAGGAACCTTAATTGTAAATGACATCGAATGTGCAGCCTCTTGTGTTTCATTTTGCAATGTGTGACTGAGTCCCTGAAAGGGGTGCACTAAGCTCCAAAAGGTAAATCTGCATTGCATGTTAACTTTTCTTTTCACACAAGAAAGGTATAACAATAATTGTAACTTTTCTGTTGGCTTTTTTTTGGTGGGGACTTTGTTTGGGTTTGGTTTTTGGTTTTTTGACACTTTTTTTTTTTGTTCTCAGGAAAAGGTAGAGATGAGAGAGCAGCTTGAGAAGAAGCAAAAGAAGTTGCAGGCTCTTCGTGGGTACGGAGTGCCTTCTCACTGGAATCCACCTGGCAAAGTCACATATTAAAAGAATTACTGAGCTGTCTATTGACTTCTATGAGAAAAGATGATCCACAATGTTCTGACAATGGTAGTCATTATTTCAATAAGAGCTGATTTTCACTGAATCCGTTATAGATGTTGCATCCTTTCTTTTTAGATTGTTACATTGTGAAATATAAATTAAAACTGCGTCAAGCAGAAACAGGATTTCATGGGGACAAATCCAGTCAGCCATGTGATGCTACAATATGTAATGCATATAATGTAAAATGATCCGGGACTAAGACTGTAGCTGTTAATACCATAGAATCATAGGATAGTAAAGGTTGGCTTGGAAAGGAACTTAAGATCACCTAATTCCAAACCCCCTGCCAATTCAGATCTTCCATAGATTTCCTGCTTCCTGCAGGAAACAGCAGTTTCAGAGGCATGTTTTGCAGTTCATGCAAAACCTTACATGAGAACTGCAAGGGCAAAACAGTGGTACTTTCATGTGGCGACCTTAGACACTGATATTTTTTTTTTTTTGGAACTTAATTTAAAGGCTTCTGTGGGTGTTTATACATGATCAAGTAAATCCTTCCCAAGCACATTTTCATGATTGCTAATGAGCTAGTTGCTGTAGTAAATTATTAAAATTCCTTCCTTTTTTTTTTTTATTTTTTCTTGGCTATTTGCCTCACTATTTGGAAAAAAAAAGGCAAGACTATGTGTCTTTAGAGATCTTCAAATCTCTTGTTTGCCTGCTGTCTAAACTCAAGCTGTTACTTACATTTGTATTTTCTGTTTGAATTTTAATAATCACTTCAGATCAGATTTGCTCCTCAAGTGTGTATTCTTAAAAAAAGAGCAAAACAAAACAAAAACCACAAACAAACAAACAAAACAAAACCAACATTGCCAACCAAGAAGAAAACTTAGTCTATAAATTATAAATGTATTTTCTCAAATGAGAATCTTGCTGCTGTTTAGACTGACAGCCTCCTCAGGAAGTCAAAGGAACATTTGAGAAGGACTTTTTCACTCAAGGCCTGTGCTGTTCATAAATCACAGAGATAGTCATTAATTCTGCATTTCATGTAACCCTGGGGCATCTCTTCAGAAACAGAAAACCACAGGACCAACAACCAGATTAATTTCTTTAGTTTCCTGATGTTTTTCTAAGTTTTAGTGAGATTTACTTAGGATTTAGACGTGTTTGGTTTTGTTATAACTGTTTCTGTTGCCAGAATGCTGAACAGGTGAAATTTATTGCTAGAATGTATGTAAAGGTGAAATCAGAAGGATATCTGTTCTGGCTCATTTTTTAATATGGGCCTGTTCATTAATTTTAGTATGACCTTTAGTTTTGTGAATTCCTAATTCAGACTTTTTGTGAAGTTTTAAGACAGAAAGAAGCTGGTGCTAAAAGGCTGAAAGATAAGATATATTTGTTAGTAGGTAACGGAGTACTTACCATCATTAACCTAGTTTTATCTATACCCAGTACAGAGGAAGGCTTGTAAACTGTACAGTATTCCTGTTGCATATAATCTATAAATCAGCAGTTTCAAGATGAATCTGCTAATCTTGACAACAATGGGTAGGTTTCACTAGTAGTTGTGCTGGATTTGGGTACAGCCACATCATCTGACAATCAGATTTGATTCACTGTGAGGAGGGGTTGCAGATTTGATACAGCTTCTAGATTATGAAGTATTTTTATTCAGGTTCAGGTTTTAATATATTGCCTGGCATTTTATATTGTGGCTGCCTTTCACAAACCTTGTTCATGGTAGCCGTGTTGTGTATTGGGGTTTTTGAGCAGGTCTGTGCTGGTCCTACTTCTTGCTTTCAGCTCTGTTTCTTCCTCAAAACTGAGCTGGACCTGCCTTTTATTTATTTGTTCTCACTTTCTGCCACTGGGCTGCACATGCAGAAATATCGTGGCTGGAAGAGTTTTTGTTCCTTTGAGGAGTCTGTAGAGAAGCTAGGGACCATAGTGACCCCCATCCTTTGTTTATATTCAGTATGCAGGTAATGCACACTTGAGTCTTCCAGTGGACCATCATCTTCTTAAGACTCAGGTCTGTGCCAAGAGTCATCACTTTAATGCTTAATTTCTTGGTAGGATAGCATTCACATGGGTCAATGATAAGTTCATCTTTTTTCATATGGGAGGAGGAAGACATTTGTCAAGAAGGGGAGAGGGCAGGAAAGAGGCTGGAGCTTTGGCTGTCTTCCTAGGTCATTTGTATTTTTTTCTTGTAGGCTCTCTTCACAGTAATACCCATGCTGGTCATCTTGCACTGCAGTGTTGCATTACCACAGAAGTTCCCATTTAGGGAATCTTGCACATCAGGTTTTTTGCAGAGATCCAGCAAATGCAGATTTTTATCTGGCTTAGGCCAGTCTGTAGCACAGACACTGCAGAGAAATTAATACAGGGCTTTCATAAACTCAGGGTCTGGGTCTGGCTGTTACATCATGGTAGGTCAGGCATTTCATCCAGTAGTAGTGATATCACAATGACAGTATTGGCATCCAAAGAGAAAGAATCTACTGCCAACAGAAACTTTCAAGAAGTTGAGAAGACGTCCAGCCAGAGCAGCTTCTGTGGGCAGCAGCAGAAATAGGGAAAAATTACAGGTACCAGCAGGAGAGGTAGCAGAATTACAGCATGGGCAGAATGTCACAGAACTGCCAACTCCAAATTGATCCACCCAAATTTTATGGAAAAGTACTGAATAAATTCGGGCATTTAGGCTGGAGCAGAGATATGCATCATTGGTCCTCTAGGCTTCTAGCAGTTGGAGCCTTGAACACAGGGTTTGTACTTTAGGAAATTGTAGCTGTAATATCATGGGAAGATGTAGCAGACAGCAGAGTTTGTTGTACAGCTATCATGATCAGATCATGAGAGTCTGAGGCAATGCAGTCAGGCTGTGAGAAACAAATTCCATGTTCATTTTTTGCATTGTCTAGCTAGAGCAAGTAAGGGAGGTCCCTATGCTGACAGGCTTCTGATTGAGGGATGCACATGAAAAGTAGGGTAGGGATAGTGGCAGAGCTAGAAAAGGGTTTGTCACATGCCTGCACCTAAACTGAATACTGCACCCTTACTGGCTTTAAGCTTTTACATGATTGGATGGAAGATTTTTGACAGGAGTGGGAAGATGTGTTGGTGACATCTTTCAGAGGAGTGATATACTCAGCACTCACATAAATTCACAGTTTTTAAATTAGAAGATGCTGAAGATCTGTAGACATGGAAAAACTGTTGATACAACTGCATGTTTAATGTCTATAATAAGATTTTGGGAACTTTGTCTAATTTTACATTGTAAAAACTTGGACCTGTTACAGCATGATGCAAACGTCGTAGAAAAAGTAGATCCAAGAAATAATAACATATGTAGATTAATTTATATAAATGTTAAATGTATTTGTATAAACCCTGTTAATATGTTTATTGATGGCAGAAGGAAAATATTTTGTGTTTAATAAAATATATTTTAGTATAATGTCCTCAATATTTTCATGAGATCCTAGGATACAAATCTTTATTTAAAGCTTTGTTGCATGGAAATGAGCTAGGTAATGTCCCTGAGCAGAACCTATCCTTTTGTCATTGCTAATATGAGAAGTAGAAAGGGAACTGTATCTCACTGAAGTTGGAGTTCTGGCACTACAGCTGTCTCCTCCAGGTCACTGACACTCACGTTTGCTTGCTGCCACACCAATGCAAACAAGCATTTAATGAACATGGGGGTTTTCAAGTAAGAACCTGAAAGTTGATCAGTAGCTCTCTTTTTTTTTTTTTCTGAAGTATTTCATTCAGGCATTAAGTTGTTGCACTGGTGCACTAAAGGGGCAGGTTGATAAATCATTTCCTATTCCAGTTCTCTCTTCATGGATAAGAAAAATTGTACTTTCTTCCCAATCATATATTTTAGATTCCATATCCTCAAAGTATTAGATCCTCTTACCTGGTCTGTGTCATGGGCTGCGGTGTTTTACTCAGTTAATGTGTGTGTTGAAGGGAGTTACTTATATCTGACTAACAGGATGTACTAGTTTGAGTTGCAAACACTGATAGCACCCTTGCAAGTCAAGAGCTGGACTTGTTCCAGTATGTCTGTATATTTCTTTCACTGGGGAGCCCAAAACTGAGCATGGTGCTCCAGATGCAGCCTCTCACCAAGATGCAGTCTTACACATGCCAAACAGAGGGTATCAGTTGCTTTCATCAGCCTGCTGGATGCACTTGCTGTTACAGCCCACAGTGTCGTTGGCATTCATTGCTGTAAGAGCCCATGGCTGACATGTTCCACTTCTTGTCCTCTGGTACCCTTAGGTCCTTTCCTGCAAAGCTGCTTGCTATCCTGTTGGGGCTGAGCCTGTACTGTTGCATGGGGTTATTTGGCCCTCGATGTAGGACTTACTTTGCCTTGATAGAGCTTAAAGGTCCCCATCAGCCTACTTCTCCAGCTCTGTCTGAAACACCCTACCACTAAGTCACCTAACCCCTGAGCAGCATGACATTTTTTTCCACTGTCAGGGTACTTAGAGAAGCCCCTCTTGTTGCATTTCAAATCCTGTATGAGCTTTAACTCCTTCCAAACCTTGGCTTTGTTAAATCCTTCCATGTTCACTCAAGTAATGCTTCTATATTGCTCCTGGGTCGCAAGTACTCTCCACCATCTGTGTGCTTGCTTACTGGCTGAACTCAGGCAGGAGAGCCCTGTTCAGGCATGCTGGCTGCCTGCCACATTTGTTCTTGTGCTCTGATGAGGATGTTCTTGAAGGTCAACCAACTCTCCTGGGTCCCCTTGCTTTCCAGGGCAGTCTCCTGTGAGATCCTGACAAACAGATCCCTGAACAAGCCATCATCTTCTCTCCTGAAGACCAAGGTTGTGGTTCCACTATTTATCTCAATTATTCCTTACAGGATTGAAAGCTTCACAATCTCAATGGCCATCAATTTTCACAACTCAGACTACTTCATCCCTGTAACCATGCAGTAACTAAGCACAATTCCCAGGCACCTCTTAGGTCATCAGCACTTCCACCTTCAGATTCCTACTGAAATATTGGCTTTTAAAGGATAATTTTTAAAAATCTGATAACGTTTATGGGTTAGATT